AGCAGCAAATCTTTGGCGACGGGTCAGCCGGCACCTCTGTCTTTCGGCGATGTCCTTTACACCCCACAGTGAGACTGAAATTAAGCGTGACTTTTTCGATTGTGTCATTCCTGGGGTAAAAGGACAGCTAAACTGAAAGAGCGGAAAGCGTCTACGCTCAGAATGTTCAAAACTACCGCGCACTCAGGAATTCTACCAAGGCAGTGGGGACGCGGTGCCGGGAGCGGCAGTCTCTTCTTCCTCGTTCTGATTCTCCTCTTCATTTTCGTTCGGCTTGTTGTTGGCACTCTTTGCTTTGCCCTTTCCCTTGGCCTTGGCCTTTGGGCGCTCCTGGCCCTGAGAACCTTCAGTCTCAGTCTCAGCCTTGCGTTTGGTTCCAGCTGCAGGCCCAGCAGCTGCGTCTGCACGGTAGAAGGTCGAACCTTCAGTCTGCATTTGGGTCAGGACGAAATTCGTCAGAATCATTTCCAGCTTGGCCGAATGGCTTTCCGACAGTGTCAGCCCGACAAAAGGCACCCTCTCAGCCACACAAGCTTTCGCCAATTCCCCTTGGCAACTGGAGAGGTCTAACCTTAGAGAGCGAAAGGTGGTTCAAGTGAACCGCAAAAAAAATTCAATGAAACGACGAGGGATCCACGACCAAGACCAGTTCCTAAAAATGTCAAGGGACACCGCTTGGACGCTGTGAGCTTTCAAAAAGCTACGGTAAAAGGTGCAGGGCAAGGTAAGGGCGCTGAACACGCTCTCGGTGGACACGTCCTTCTCCTTCTGGGCGGCCGCTTCCGTAAGGGACACGGTGCGGTCCCTTGTCAGACACTCTTCCTTTTCACTCCTGGATGTCAGACACGTTTGACAGGACGTGAATTTAATTGTTTTGTTCATTTTTGTTCATTGAAAACTGGGTGAACATGACTTTTGCTTAGTCCTGTTCAAATGCCAAAGGTCTTCGGGTTGCAGTGCACAGACCGTGGCAAAGATGTCCCCCGTGTTGTGTCCACTGAAGTCCGGGTACGGTTTTTCCGGCAACATCTGGGAAAGATTCGTGCTGGAAAACACGCTCACAGTGGTTTTGGCACTGTAGGCGCCGCGGCACCTTTGTTCCGACTGCGGATCGAACTGTCCGAAAAAATGACTGTGATGTCTTTCTGCTCCGCTTCGATTGGCTGGTCCTTGCGGGCCGTTGCCGGTCGGAACAAAGACTCAGCATCTTTTCCAGAGCGGTCAGCACCGCAATGGATGACGACCACCTCACCCTCAGCAGGACAGGTAGCTTCATCGCCTTTGCGCTGAGCATTCCTGCCAATCATGGCTCCGTGGAGCAACTTTTTGAGCAAAGCAGGCTCGGCCACAAATTTCTTCCTTAGAAGAGGTCGCTGGTTGGGCCCCATGCTTTCTCCCAAACCGTCCAGATCCAAGTGAGTCAGGACGCAACTCTTGCCACCCTCACCTTGGAAATCTCGCAAGGAAGTTTGGGAAACCAAGGTGATGACCCCCTCCAAAGTTTTGGGCCCACCGGGGAAAGAACAGTAGGTCCTGACCGTCTGGTTGGCCACTGCTTTCCAATATTTTTCAGACCCTTGGGAATGTTGACTCGGCGGCTTCCTGAGCTGCTCCAGCTCGTTTGAGGTGTCAGGGGCAGACTCCGCAGCTCCTACTGCCAGCTCCTCTGCCGCCTTCCTTTCCGCTTCTTCGTTTTTCAAAGTAGCCAGCACTTTGTCCCACTGTTCTTTGACGAGCTCGTGTTCCAAAACTGCTTCAGGAGCACCCCCGGCTTTGGCGGCTTGTCTCAATCCATTGTCGTACTTCTTACCGTACGTGAGATCCTGGCGTACGATTTGCGAAACAAAACGAAAAATAATGACGAGTCTTCCCAATACGCATGCAAAGCTGGACCTGCCTCCAAAAGGTGAAAGGCTTCAATGGCTGATTTCTTCAAACGCGCCATCCAGCTGCAGTCTGCTTGTCCACTATGCATCCTGTACGTGTCATGACGCGCTGTGTTGGCTTTGAGCAACACTCGATCGGCTTCTGACATGCCGCTCTTGGGCAGTAGAATGTCGAAGAAGTAGTCGTGCACCTGGCAAGGAGGAGCTGTATTGGGGAAATATGGCTGGATATATTCTCTTGGAAGATATCCGGCCGGGAAAAGCCTAGCTTCACCACCCGTCACCCCCACCTTCTTCTTCAGTTCGAACAATTGCACCAGTCCAGTTTGGTGTTTTGCGCCAGCCAAGGAGCTGTTGGAGATGTCTCCGAGTTGGAGCAAATCATGCGCCAACCAATCGACAATAGACTCCAAGACCCAGTCTCTCATCTGGGTCGTGCTTGGCTTGGTGGAGGCGATGTGCAGCCGACTCAATGAGTGAAATGGCGAACGGGTCCCGTAGGACGTCTCCAATTCAAGGAGCAGCTCTACCGCGCGAGCCGACGACAAGACGCCTTTCTTCACAGCCAAGGCTTGGCTGATCAGGTTGGCGGTGAGCCTGCCCTCATTCTCCTCGTCTCTTTTGCCTCCCTGCACGCTCTGCAATCCCAAGGTGCTAAATTCCTGCGCTAACTGCGCGGGCGAAAGCCTGCCTTTGCAAGAAGGAAGCTCCTCGCACATGGTTTTGAACTGATCGATTTCAATCGCAGTTTGCATAGCGGTTCGGGCCATGCTTTCATGTTCCTGTTTCAAGCTTTGCCTCCTGTTCCACGCCTGGACCCAAACCTGGTCAGGTTCGGACCCAGAAGCGTCTTTGAACGCGGCAGGAACGCTCAGCAGGACTGCGCGCCACTTGTCTCTTCGCAAGGCCCGTTCCTCTGCTGAAAGCTCGTCCTTGCGCCTGAGTTGAGTCCAAAAAAAGTCTGAAATCAAACCTCCCCTCAAAACTGAAAACGTAAGATTCAATACCGAAGGCGCCGGATGCACAGAGCGCACGCGGCAACGAGGGAATGTGCAATTTCCTCTGGAGAAATCGTTTGAAGGTTTTGTGGCTGATTGCTCAGAGACTCTTTGTTGACCATCAACTCGACCATCCTTCCGGTCAGAAACTGAGGCTTTCCCGCAGGAAAGTAAAACTCAGACATGTCCATGACTCTTCTTCTGGACATAGGGATGCCGGGAGTCGGGGAAGAAGAAATTTGAATCCAGAAAAGTGGGATGGAGCAACGGTACACACCGTGCAATTCCAGAGCTACCTTTCCTTTCGTCAAATCGTAAGGTTCTTGAACCCCCGTCTTGCTTCGATCCGTTTCCGAATCAGACAAAGGCAACGGCTTTTCTTTCTCAATACCTGGGAACTCCTGCAAAATTGTCTTGACGTCTGCCTCCAACTGCGCGTAATACGCTGAGTTGGTTGGGTCAGTGTCTGGCGAAGCAGCCGCAGCTGCAGGGTCAGCATCCTTCTTTGCCTTGCGCTTGGGCTGCGCAGGGGCGGAAGGTTTGGCCGATATGGCCAAAGCTGCCTTTTTTCTCTGTTCACAAGCCACCGCCTTGCGAGTTTGTATTTCTCTCTTGACATCCTTTTCCACTTCCCCCCTTTGAACTCGGTCCTTCAGCTCTTGTTCCTCCGTTTTGTTCAACCTCCAGGCGGAAATGTTGGGGATATCGGCTGTTGCCACTGCTGCCACGCTACAGGTCCGTGGAGACACACACACAAACGTTTGGAGCCAAAACGAGCTGAGTGGAAGCATACATTCAACATGTCCAGATGAGGCGTCGAGAAAGGACTACAAGTTCAAAATTGAGCAGTGAATCCGGTAGCGCACCATGCTGCGAAGTATAGCGGTTGCCCAGTAACGTGGCGGTTGTAAGGCTACTGGGAAAACCCTATTTGGCTTACTCGATCCCAGCCTAGGCCAGACCCGGGTAGTGATAGTAGGATGTGAGTTAAGCATACTATGGCAATCATCCCCCAATCACGCCTGCAACGTTCAACACCCACCTTGCTCGGTTCCAGCCCAGGCCAGGATCGAGGAGGGAAACTAGGAGAACACCAGTTGCCTTCCGACTTCCCCGTTGACGATTTTCTGACTTTTTCCACTTCACCACATCGTACCAAAGTCCAAGGGCTCTTAGCCTTGAAGTTGGCCAATCCAGCAACGGACAAACCGTGCATGACCACAGTTGCTAGCACATTGATGCTCATAGTATCGCCGATGCTTCCTTCCACTGTGCGCGCGGGCATCCGATGGATTGCGGCTGCGCCTTGCATGGCGTTCAAAATTTGGGCGGGGAGTCCTTGTAAAGAAGCAGCCTCCAAGGTCAACAGGCGGCGGCGAAGTTTTGGTATATAATAGCCATCTTGGCTCAACCGAGTCTTGGTCAGACAAGGAGAGCAATTTGTCATGACTGACTGAAACCTTTCAGATGACCCGACATCCAAAATGTAGCCCTTGGTCCACATTTTCTCTCCCAATAGGAGTTCATATTTTGGCAAGTGAAGCTTCTCCGAGCCCGCCACCTCTTTTTGAATGAAGTGGTGTAAATCCATGCGGTTGGGCCCGCCTTCTGGCACGGACACCTTACAATCCGCACAGATTTCCTTGGCCACAGCCAGCAAATAGACCCGTGGGCGACTCTGCGGCACCGCAAAGTTTCTCGTGTCCAAGACTTTGAAGTCTATCACATAATCCAGCTGTCGCAAAATTTTCAGGACGTAATTCCACACCTTGGTGTATTTCTTTTGCAAAATCGCTTTCACCTGTTCCAAAACGACCACCTTTGGGCGCCATAGTGCCACGTACTCCAACCCTTTCAAGGTTAAGAGGCCCCTGCGGTCATCGACGCCGGCCTGTTTCCCGAGATTGGAAAAGCTCGGGCATGGGTAGCCGGCTATGTACACATCTGCGTGTTTCATGTCTTCCGGTTTCCGTAGAAACATGTCGATGGGCCTCAGTCCATCCATGTTCCAGCCGCAAGCTTGCGCGACTGCCTGGTAAAGGATGACCTTGTTCGCGTCAACTTCTGACATCATCACCGGGCGCACCCGGGCCTTCAAGCCTAAAAGCCTGTACGCGACCAGGTCTGAGCCATATCCTGAGCAGTCAGAGGCTGCTGTTATGACTCCTGTGCTGGGGTCTGTTTGGCGCGAATGCTTCCTCAATCGGTCTTGCCAATCAGACGCCAAGTCATTCACACGCAGCAGTTGGGCTCGCAACTCTGCTTTGGTCACTGGGATTGTCTTCAGGGATTTCTTCTTCAAATGGGCTTTCCTCGGCGCACTTTTCATTGTCACTTGTCTTGAGCCAAGCGTGCTGCCTAAAAAACGGTGGAAGACTGAAAACCAATGCCGTTGCGAAAATAGTCTGACCTGATGAAGCAAAGGTCCCGCTATTTTTTCCCGCGAATCTTCCCCATCGCAGGTTCCATGTCAGTCAGGCCTATGGTTTTACACGGGCGCTTGCGTTCTTATTCAAGCAAGACGTGCTAAGCCAGCGAAGAAACTCAACTGAATTAAAGCATTTCACTTTGGTTTTAGCAAACCCTTGGATGACTTCCCCTGCACCCCGCAAAAACAAGCTAGGCTTCAACCCACGCCCCTTCAAGTCTTCAGCTCTCACTGCACGCCATCCTCGTTGGCAAGCTTCCCTGAGCAGCAGCGTCAGGCCTGGCTCCTCGACCTTGAACGTGTCTGAAACGAACACCGCCACTTGCAAGTCCTGTCCTGGATGGAAAGCAAGTTTTGTTCCTCCTTGCCCCAGCAGAACTGAGGCAGACAACACAACACCGCCGGACAGAGCAGCCATGAACCGAACTTTCCGTTCCACGGTCGCGAAGTCATTCACAATGAATAGCTTCGCCTGCCGCAGGTCCTGCAGAAAGAAGCAACAGTAACATGATGTGTCAGATCATGCACATGGATTCAAACATCATTGAGCAGTTATTACTTCTGATTGTCCTCTGTGAAGTTGGTGACCGAGTGCCCCTGGAGCCGTTTGTGGAGCTCCTCTTGCGGGCCCAATTTCTGACAAAACCAAGCAGGGCCAGTCAGACCCTGGCAAGCCCAGTCGGGTGTCTTCGTTGTTGAAGTCAAATGTCCACCCAGCTCGTAATCGCGCCTCTTCTTGGCACGCTGCTGGTCAGCTTGCTTGTTTGTCTTGGCAACACGGACAGCCTCCGTTCTAACGTCCTCCGTGACTTCATCAGGAAGCAGCAGCCCATCAGCTAAGGCTTCTGCTTTTCTCTTCAAAGCATGTTTCCTTTGAAAGTCACGTTCTTTCAGCGCAGATACAGTCTGTACTGCAGACGGCTTCCGAGGCGGCGTCGTATAGCTCTGCACTGCCTCTGCCACAGCTTGCTTCCGGTTGCGGTTCCAGTGCGCAAAGGTGCCTTCTCTGCAGCCGCCTTTTGTCCCGCAATCGAACCTGACGCGTGTCCGCGGACGGGCCACGCCGGAATGCAAAAGAGAAGCATATATTTGTCGAGCGTCTGTGACAATGTCTGCCATGGCAGCCACGGCTTGTCCATCGCCCATCACACACGCAGTGCGTCGGTCAGTCTCAGCGGATGCATTGGAAAGCTCCACTGGACTTCTTTTCAATTTGGAGAATAGTTGTTCCACCCCGCTGCTGGCAGCTGTCCAGCCTTGGTACGGAGCAATGACTTCCCTCAGGGCCGAGTGCTCGTGCCTCTGGTTTTGGGCGCCCTTGCGGCTGCTCGTGCGTTGCAGTGCCTCCTTCCAAGCGTCCCGGTTGGACAGCCCGCCTTGTTTTTTGATTGCCGTAGCAATCGGCATCAAGCGAGCATATTGCTCCTTGAGCTTCTCCGGGCAAACCGCAAAAGCTTGGGCCAGCCTTTGCAAGTTCCGCAAAACATCCGGATTTTGTCGCTTGCCTTCGTCAGCCAAGTTGAAAACTTCAAATGCAGCAAAGAGGTGCCAGCTGGGGAACTCATGCGCCACCACTTCTTCCGCAAGCGACGCCCATTCCTGGAAGAGACACGTGATGAAAACTAAAAATGCTATTATAATAATTACTTACGATTTGTGATTAGGAAATTAAAATTCGGTCCTCCATGTGCGCAAAAGCTCTGTCGAGATCTGCCGGAGACACTTTGACATCATAAGCGAAGCCATCCTGAAGGATGGTGACTGAAGCCTTCCTGTCCAACAGCTCTTTCGTGAATAATGTTGGTAAGGTGAGAACTTGGCGGTCGACAAAGAGGGCTCGAGCTGAAGAGATGAAATGGTTTGCTCCCATGTTGAGCGTTGCCACATCCACCTCTTCTCGGTCCACTTGTCTACAGTAGTCGTTGCTGATTGCCGCAGCATCAGCAGCCATTGCGAGGAGAACTGCTTTGAAGGAACTAAAATTCTGACACAGCTGCGTGGCCCAAGCAGCATCAGCGCCTCGCATGGCTTGAGCACGCCCGCAAACGTTGAAAACGGCCTGTAAATTTTTGACAATGCGGGACAACGGGTTGAAGTAGGAAGAAAAGCGATGCTTGGCTGCTGCGAGGGAAGTGCACTGGTGCCCCAGCAGGTCTGAATCCTCTTGACATTGCACTGCCTTAGCCCACCATTGGCTGAGAATGTGGCTGTGGTGCACCTTCTGCGCGAAGCTGTCGGATCCATGGATCCATTCCGTCATAATGGACCTGAGAGCTTCGCAAGATTGGAAGGGCCGCTTTAAGAGACGTGTAGACGCGTGCGCCACATCTCGACCAATGAGTTTGACGCTCGTCAAATTCGCTTGGCCCATCTGATCTGCAAATGCCCTGCGGCCACGCTCTAAGTCCCCCGCCAGAAGCTCTGACGCAGCTGCGTCGGTTACGACAATGGTGACTGATTCTTGTATCTTCCGTAGTAGTTCCGCATCTACCGGCTGCTCCTCGGCTTTGGAGCCCCGCGGAGGCTGTCGCATAGGCTGGCAGAAGCTTTGCATTGAGTCAGCAGTTGCCGCAGCAATGCTCTCAGCAGAGCCTGGTACCTCGCACATTCCGAACACACCGTGAACCGTAGTCAGGTCCTTCAGAACTGCTTTGAAACGGACAAGAAGCTTCCCCTTGCGCTCATCTCTCATCAGTGACACGTGATGTGCTTCTGAAAGTAATTTGCGATTCCGACTGCAAATTGCTTCGGACAATGCGTAGCGCATGCGGTTTTTCTTGTCCGAACACACGCCCCCCTGCCTTGCAGACTGTCCTTGCATCATGCCCTGCAAACATGTTTTAAAGTCCTCCGCAGGTGGCGCCCCAGATAGTTCCACAGCATTGCTCTCCATTGCTTTCCGGTGCCCCTTCGATTGCTCGTGCCTGTCCAAATTATGTTTGCGCAGGCGTGCACCTGGCGGCTGCTGGAATTGCGCCCATGGTCCATCCCAACCAACTTTGGCGCATGTGGAGCAACCAAGTTTGGCTTCGCCCTCCACCAGTACGACTCTCAACCACGGTTTTTTGTGGGACACCCAAGCTTGGTGAATTGCGCACAAGCCACACTTCTGTGGGCCCAGCTTGCAAGTTGTCAAATGTTCCTCGACAATGGTTCCGGGAACCAAATGTTTCAGTGTGCCAGACTTGTCCATGGCGCTACTTTATTCTAGGTAAGCAGTGCGATAACAACATGGGAATCTGGTGTGTAAAATACTTATGTATCTCTCTCTTGCTATATATGTATTTATATATATACATAATATATGTGTGTATCTTTTTCTTGCACGCATGCGTCTCTACAAAATATGTAATCGTCACAGGCAGGAGTTTTGGGCCGAAGACTGGGAACAAAAACAAAGGCAACAACAAGAGTTGAATGCGCGTGACTGTCAACTGCAATGGTCCCGTTCCGGATTCCAGCTTTCTTTGTCCTTCAATTTAAGTATAAGCCGATGTGAAACACCGAGACAGGCTAAAGCGCTCAAAATTCAATCCGTAGATTGAAGCGGAGTCCGTAGACTCATTGAAGAATCCGTAGATTGAAGCGGGAGTCCGTAGACTCTGAGTCCGCAGACTCACTGTATCAATCCGTAGATTGTTTTCCCAAGAAATCCGGTCGCGGCAGACTCACTGCTGGACGCATTGCGCCCGCAGGTGTCTTGCGCCCGCTCACTTGTCGGAATTGTCCGGGTCCAGAGCCGAAGCGACATTCAGCACACATTGCTGAGCTTCCAAAATTAATGTTCCTGCCGGCTCAAAACCTGCTTCTCGGACATGGACCAACAGGCGACCAAGATCCTCTGCCGCCAAGGTCATTTCCTCGATATGCAAATCTGCTGCCTGCTGCAGACGTGGAAACTCATCGCCCGCAT